GCCTTTGTTTACCCAGAGAGCCGCTTCTTTCTCCCATCTGTCGGCCCTCAGCCGCCCCTCTCAGATGCCTTCTGATTTGCGCAGGCTCCCCTCTCTCCAGCCAGGCCTGTCTGCCCATCCCACCCTCAGGGACCCTCTTCTGAGCCCCTCTCCTCCATGCTCTCTCTCCAGGAAGGAACCCAGTGCGGCAGCCCCGACAGGGGCTGGGGGCGTGGCCCCAGGCTCAGGGAACAACTCGGGGGGACCCAGCCTCCTGGTGCCACTGCCTGTGAATCCTCCCAGCTCCCCAACGCCTAGCTTCAGTGATGCCAAGGCAGCTGGTGCCCTGCTCAATGGGCCTCCGCAGTTCAGCACCACCCCGGAAATCAAGGTGGGCTCCTCAGATATCCCCTGAGCCTCTGTATCCTGACTGCTGTCTGCACTCCAGACATTTCTGTCCCTTTCCTCCAGGTCTCTAGCTGTGCACCCTCCCCACCTTTCTGGATCTTGCTCTCCGGCTTTCTCTCCCCTTCTCACACTTGCTCTTTCTCCAGATCTTTCTGTACCACGTTCCCCCTGACCATGATCTCTGGGAGCTCTCATACTCCCCTCTTGCTCCCTCTGAAGCTGTTTCTCTGGGTCTCTTCCTTTTTCTTGGTTGTACTTGTTGGTTGCTCCCTCTGGGTTTCATCTTCATCTTCCCTAGGCCCTCAGCTTCTGTCCCCATTTGTCTTTACAAAGCATACCAGTCTTTCTACTTCACATGACCCCTTACCTAGCTCAGTACCCTCCTTTTCCTAGCTAAGAAACTGTTTTCAGTCAAGACAGCACTTGTTCAAGTCCAGCGGGGGCCAAGCTTGGTGTTGGGTGAATGCAGCCTGCTTCCTACTTTTAGGAAGCTTCCCTGCTGGGGTGGCTGCAGGGGAGGTTGCTGTGGGTCCCCTGAAGGACATGGGACCTGACCTGGGAGACAGGCCAGGAAGGCTCTGTGAGGGGGTGATGTTTCAGCTGAAACCTGGAGCCACCAGGGGTCTAACAGCTGCAGGAAGGGCTTCAGGAGGAGTGCGCATCTGCCTGCATGCTGAGGAGGCTGGGCAGGATGCAGCAGAGAGGAGCAGGTATCCACTCTGCAGGAGGCAGTGCCGCCGGCTGTAGGGCTGAGTGCAGCAGGACAGGAGTGGGGGTTCCTGATCATGGAGGGTCAGGAGCTGGGGCTTGGCTTGTGAGCCAGGGTACTGTAGCGTGGCTTCCACGGGGCGGCAGTGCGCCCCAGGCTGGCCAGGTGCAAGTCTTGGCATTGTCTTTTTTGTGCTTGCCTTCATCTGGGAAATGGCAGTAATCACGATGATATCTACCACACAGGATTATTTAGAAGAGTAACTTATTGCGGTAAAGCTCTTGGAACAGTTTCTGGTCCAACAGAAGCATTAGATTTCTTTTTTTAAGACAGTCTTGCTCTGTTACCCAGGCTGGAGTGCAGTGGTTCGATCTCAGTTCACTGCAGTCTCCACCTCCCGGGTTTTTTGTTTGTTTTGTTTTTTTTTTGAGACAGTTTCGCTGTTGTTACCCGGGCTCGAGTGCAATGGCATGATCTCAGCTCACTGCAACCTCCGCCTCCTGGGTTCAGGCAATTCTCCTGCCTCAGCCTCCTGAGTAGCTGGGATTACAGGCACACGCCACCATGCCCAGCTAATTTTTTGTAGTTTTAGTAGAGACGGGGTTTCACCATGTTGACCAGGATGGTCTCGATCTCTTGACCTCGTGATCCACCCGCCTCGGCCTCCCAAAGTGCTGGGATTACAGGCGTGAGCCACCGTGCCCGGCTGACCTCCCGGGTTCAAGTGATTCTCCTGCCTCAGCCTCCCAAGTACCTGGGATTTCAGGCGCCCACCACCCTACCTGGCTGATTTTTGTATTTTTAGAAGAGATGGGGTTTCGCCATGTTGGTCAGGCAGGGGGCTTGAACTCCTGACCTCAGGTGATCCACCCGCCTCGGCATCCCAAAGTACTGGGATTACAGGCATGAGCCACTGCGCCCAGCCCAAATTTTATAAGTACTATGGACAGGAAACTGTGCATTTTTGTGGCAAAAGGGAAACAACAAGCTTTGAGATTTTCAAAAGGGGTTCATACTTTTTGACACCACCACCAGCAAAAATGAATCACTGGGGTGGGTGGTCAGGAACTATGGCAAGGTTTGAAGTAAAAAAGGAACAACATGACTTCATTGGAAAGGTCCCCTGGGGCTGAGGACAGGATAGAGGGAGAGTAAGCTGGGCAGGAGAGGACAGGCCCGGGCTGTGTGGGGTATGGTGGCATGACAGATAAACAGGACAGATAAGCCTTGGTGACTAAAGCGTTGTGGAGAGGACAGCACAGGGCTGGGGTTAGGGACAGCTGCCCATGGCCAGAGTATATGGGGGAACCAGGTCTGACTTTGGAGAACAGAAGCCTGCTGTAGCCTTTGTAATAGGAAAGGAGGCTGTGGCGGTAGGGCTGGAGGCCCAGCCTACCTGTTACCAGCAAGGAGACTGAATCCTAGCAGGGCTGGGCCTGCCCCCACCCCAGTCACCCCATGCCAGTCAGAGGCAGACAGCTGAGCATGTAGTCCTCCTGCCTCCGAGACATGTGGGGGCCCTTCCAACGTGTAGGTGTCCCTAGTGAAGGAGCGTGTACTATTGGCTCATCGTTTGACAGAAATGGTAGCACACTGTACATGTTCTGCAGGTTGGCATTTTCCTCTGTAGTATGTCACGAACTTGTGTTTTGAAAATCTCTGCGCTGTATTCCATGGTGTAGAGTCCCACTTACTAGATGTTCATCTGCTGATGACTGTGTCAGTGGTTTCCAGTGGTTTCCCCCCAGTTTGATGCTTTTACCTTTTATGGGTAGATCACAAGAAGTGGGTCACTGGCCCTCCACAGCCTCCCAGCAGAGCAGGCGAGAGCATGTGGGGCCTGCATCAGGCGAAGCTTGCTCCTGCAGCCCAAGTGCTCAGGCCAGGCCTCTGGTTTCCTCCCCAGGCCCCAGAGCAAACTTTGAGCTCCTTGAAGTCCATGGCGGAAAGGGCAGCCATCAGCTCTGGCATTGAGGATCCTGTGCCAACGCTGCACCTGACCGAGCGAGGTAAGGGTCCCAGGATGGTGGGGAAGCAGTGAGCCAAAGAGGAACTGGCCCTGACCTATCCTCACCACTGAGGGGGCCACCCCCACTTTCCCCACAGACATCATCCTCAGTAGCACATCAGCACCTCCGGCCTCAGCCCAGCCACCCTTGCAGCTGTCAGAGGTCAACATACCGCTGTCACTGGGTGTCTGTCCACTGGGCCCTGTGCCCCTCACCAAGGAGCAGCTCTACCAGCAGGCCATGGAAGAGGCCGCCTGGCACCACATGCCTCATCCCTCTGATTCTGAGCGTATCCGGTGAGGGGCTGCAGGAAAGGGGGTTGGGCTGGGATTCAGGTCTTAGTGAGGAAGCAGGGGATGGACCTGTGAGGCTGTGGGTCAAGGGGGCCAGGCCCCTGACCTGGGCTCCCCACTGAAGGTCAGCACGGCCCCAGGTCTATCTGTACCAGCCCCCACCCGGGGATGCATTTCTGAGCACTCTTTTGATGAGGGCAGGACTGGTAGGCAGCTCACACTGACCTTCCTGATACTCCCACAGGCAGTACCTCCCCCGGAACCCCTGTCCGACGCCCCCCTACCACCATCAGATGCCACCCCCACACTCGGACACTGTGGAGTTCTACCAGCGCCTGTCGACCGAGACACTCTTCTTCATCTTCTACTATCTGGAGGTACAGCAGGGCCCCCGGGGCAGCCTCGGGCCCCCCGGCTTCGCCGCCACCGCCGCCGTCCCCCCTCGGGCTGGAGGGGTGAGGTGGGTGCCCCACTGCGGCCACTGGGACCGCACCCCCTCCCTATTCCCAGTCCTGGGCCCCCCAGCCCCCTACCTAAATCAGCCTGTCCCTGTTCCCGCTTCCAGCCCAGAGGTGTTAGAACTGCCTGGGTTGAGTGAAGCCAGTCGGCCGCAGCATGCCCCAGCCCTGCTTCCAGTGGCTCACTGGCTTATCTGCAGCCCCTCCCCAGCCCTGATCCAGCAGCCCCAGTCTAGGCTAACCCCACTCTGCTCATCAGCACATTCTCAGGCCTCCCTGGAGACCACTGGGGAACTGTCCAACCTACTCCCACCCCCAGCGAGTGACCTCCACCCTCATCCCCACTTTGGAAATTTTCTAAATTGCCTCCTGTCTCAGCTCTCATCACACAATAGTTTTTCTTCCTTCTCAAAGCTTCTCTGAAATTAATTTTCACCTCCTGTCTCATTTTCCTTCTCCTGACCAGCATTGGTATGTTCTGTGCCCCAGATTGTCCAGCTCAACTGTGGTCTGTGGCGGGGGCCGGGGTTCAGCCCTGATGTCCCGCCCTGTCCCCCTGGCTCCCCACCAAGTTTGGGGGGGCCCTGATCCCCTTCTCCACCTTTACTCCCCCAGGGCACTAAGGCACAGTACCTGGCAGCCAAGGCCCTAAAGAAGCAGTCGTGGCGATTCCACACCAAGTACATGATGTGGTTCCAGAGGCACGAGGAGCCCAAGACCATCACTGATGAGTTCGAGCAGGTGAGGGCCCCGCCCCCTCTCTTCCTACTGCTAGGGTTGGGGTTGAGTCCCCACGCAGTCCCTGCCAGCCTCTGCTCCCTTGCCTCCACCTTTCAGGCGATGCAGTCCCTCAGCCTGACCAAGCTCTGCTTCACTCGGGCTGTTTGCTCAGCCTGGAGAACTGCCTTTCCTCCTCCAGTTGGCTGGCTCCTAGGGCTCCTGTAGGTCTTAGCCCAAATGGCCCTTCCTGAGAGACCTTCCCGGAGCCACCTGGCTCAGCGCCTCCGTGGTGCGGTGCTGGGCACTGACATGGGTGTGGGATTTTCCGGTGAGACTCCCGGCCCAGGCTGTGGGTTCTGGTGCCCAGGGACCTTGATGGCCCCCTCCACCGCCAGGTCCCAGCACCCAGCACACACTCAGTGGGGAAGCTATTTTTTTTTTAATGGTCTTTTCAAGTTCTAATAATTGGCAATTCATGCTTCTTGCAAATACTCTGGAGCCAGCCTGCCTGGGTTTGAGCCCAGCTCTAGCTGGGTGACTTTGGGCAAGTCACTTGAACCTCTGTCTTAATTTCCTTATCTGTAAAAACTGGGGGGAAGAGGCCCTCCTACTGCAGTTGTTATGAAGATTAAATGAGTTAATAACATGTAAGTATTTGATGGTGACTGCTACGTAGTAAGTGTCATGATTTTTTTTTTTTCAAATTACTTACAGTTGGTGTGTTCCACAGTGATTTTTTTTTTCCCCCACCAAAGACTTCCCTGATGCCGAGCCCCTTCATGGGGATGAATGTTGCAAAGTCCTTGTCCTCAGAGAACTCAGTCCCTTCTCCTAGTTCTCCCAGGCTGCCATTCTTGAAAGCATTTCAGACATTCGTTCATTCAGAAGCTAGCTCCTCTCCCATCGTGCCCTCAGACATTAACTACTGACCTTCTATCCTTTCCTGGTTTGGCCCAGAACCATCCTCCAAGTTAGTACATTTCAGGGCATCCAGTCATTCAGAAATTCCCACACCTCTGCCACCGCCAATAAAATATCCCTGCAGAGTGCTTAGATTTAGATTCTGAGCATGTTCCATTCTTTAGAACAAGGGTGACAGTACCCACTGCCTTGAGGTCTTTGTGAAGATTAAATGCTAGGCCATGCATCCTGTACTTGCACAAGAGAGATGTTCAAAAGCCACAGCCCTCAAGAATACAAAGGCCTTGTACTCACTCAGGCCTGGAGCTGGGGCCCCACTCTGGCAGCTGGCCTCGGTGGAAGCTCTCTGCTGTTCCCTCCGCTTCCTCCTTGATGAAGTGGGCATGTAATGTTTATAACCCAAGAACCACCTTGTGAGGGTAGAATGAGTGCACGTGTGTGCAGGGCAGCTGGCCCAGTGCCCGGCACATCCACAGGCCTAAGAACTGTCCCCTTTGTCTGTTGGTCCGGCCCAGATCCCAGACCACCTCTTCGTCCACTCACTGACCGCCTTCTCCCCCGGCCAGGGCACCTACATCTACTTTGACTACGAGAAGTGGGGCCAGCGGAAGAAGGAAGGCTTCACCTTTGAGTACCGCTACCTGGAGGACCGGGACCTCCAGTGACACCGGCCCCTCCCTCTACCAACCCCCTCCCCCGCATGCTGATCCCCCTGCCCAGGTGAGGGCCCTGCCCTGGAAGACTGGAGGGAGGCCCCAGGCCACGGGGCATCCCCCTCTCCCAGGAAGCAGGGAAGGGGCCGGGATGTTTCTTCTCAGCCCCACCCTGGGGGCCCGGGGGCGAGGGCTGCCCCCTCCTCCCCTCCCCAGTGAGGGACATTTTTTGGTAAACCTATTTTCATTTTGGAAAATATTTATGAATAAATAGTTTTATATGACGGCTGGCAGTAGCGGCCTCTCCTGTACCCCCTCAGGAGTCAGTAAGCAAGGTGAGGGTCCTGCTGGCGGGGGCGCCGGGCCAGCTGGGGGTTGAACTGGGAGTTGTACCGCCGCCGCCGGTCATCTGTCTCTTCCTCTTCCTGCTTACCCTCCTGTGGTGCCCGGCCTTGGACCCGGGCCAGCAGGGCCTCCGCTTGAGCCCTCTCGGCTGCTTCCCTCCGAAGACGTTCAGCTCGAAGCTGGTCCAGGGATGGAGGCCTGCAGGGAGAGGACTGAGGTCAGAAAGCCGGTAGTCCCCCTAGGAGGCCGTTCCCCCAAACTCTCCCAGAGGGAGCTGCCACCAGGAACCCTGGCCTGCATCCAGCACACCCCAGCCTTGGCTCTTAGGGCCTGCTGGAAGAAGCCACTTGGTGCTGGGACGCCATGGGCATGTTTCTGGCCTGCCTTCCTGTGGGCTTAATTCCTCCCCAGTCTTTAAAATGTGATGCTCCTCCACATCAAGAAAGCACACTGGGCAGCCCCTGGCTCTCTCTGGGCCTCAGCTTCCCTTTCTGGAGAAAAAAAGATTATAGGCAGTGTACCCTCTCTAGAGCAGCGGTACAGTATCCTGGGGATATAAGCCTGCTTTTACAATCTAACCCAGCGGTTCTCAAACTCTTTGGTCTCAGGACCCCTTTATACTCTTAAAAACTGAGGATCCCAAGAACTTTTGTTTCAATGGGTTCTGTTAATATAATGCAAATCAGAAGTGAAAACTTGGACATAAGTATCTGTGCCATTAGCCATCACAGTGAGGGTGTCTTCTTATCATGTACTCTGGAAACCTGCACTACCTGCCTGAGAATGAGTGTAAAAGGCAAACAGTGTTAGGAAAATAGGCTTGACACCATGGCACGCCCGGGAAAGGGAATCAGGACCCCTGGGGCTCCCTGGACCACATGTTGAGAACCACTGTTCCAACCAGAGCTCCTGCTGTGCCTATGCTAGGCTGCTGCCAAGCCCTGAAGATCTGGGTCCTGGTCTGCCAGGGCAGGGTCCTCCTTACCCCTTAGGTCGCTGTTTCTCAGACCCCTCCTTCTTTTCCTTTCTGCTGTGATTGCCTTCATCACTGCTGTGCCGTCTCCTCTTCCCCAGATGCTTCTGCATCTCCTGCAGAGGGTCCAGGCGGCTCTTGATCTTCTCATCTGGGGCTGGGCCAGGTGGGTGGCCCCCTCGCTCTGGTGGGAGCTGGTACCAAGGGGGTTGAGTCTGGGCCTCCGCTGCACTCTGGCCCAGGTATGTCAGGATGCCCAGAGCTTTCTCTTGTCTCTCCTGAGAGGGTCAGGAAATAAAAGAGATGGGATATAATCTTTCAGGGTGTCAGGTTTATCTCCCTGACACAGGTATCTAAGGCCTATCATGAAGCAGCTGTGCCAGGTGTTGGGGAGGGAAGAGACCAGCAGAGGCCAAGCTCCTGCCCTGGGGGGACAATGGCAGGGACAGTCACAGAAAGCAGAGGAAGGAGGGGATGGGGTGGAGGCGCCTGAATGTCCAGAGGCAGGTATCTTTTCAGAGAGCAAGCAAAACAGAGGACCCGTGGGTGGGGTCAGCAAGTCCAGAGACAACAGGTGAGTAACAGGTGCTAATGTAACTTTTACACTTGATCTTAGCCAAGAGGTAAGAAATGACTGACTCACCTTTTTTTTTTTCTGAGATGGAGTCTCGCTCTTGTCACCCAGGCTAGAGTGCTGTGGCACGATCTCAGCTCACTGCAACTTCCACCTCCTGGGTTCAAGCGATTCCCCTGCCTCAGCCTCTGGGACTAAAGGTGCACGCCACCATGCTCAGCTAATTTTTTTTTGAGACGGAGTTTTGCTGTTGTTGCCCAGACTGGAGTACAATGGCACAATCTCGGCTCACCGCAACCTCTGCCTCCTGCCTCAGTCTCCCGCGTCCCTCAGCTGGGACTACAGGCACGTACCATCATGCCCAGCTAATTTTTGTATTTTTAGTAGAGACAGGGTTTCACCTTGTTGACCAGGATGGTCTCGATCTCTTGACCTCCCGATCCACCCGCCTTGGCCTCCCAAAGTGCTGGGATTATAGGCGTGAGCCACCACGCCTGGCCATTTTTTTGTATTTTTAGTAGAGATACCATGTTGACCAGGCTGGTCTTGAACTCCTGACCTTGGGTGATCTGCCCACCTCAACTTCCCAAAATGCTGGGATTACAGGCATGAGCCACTGCCCAGCTGATATAGATTTTTTTTTTTTTTTTTTTTTTTTTTTTTTAGACGGAGTTTCGCTTTTGTTACCCAGGCTGGAGTGCAATGGCGCAATCTCGGCTCACCGCAACCTCCGCCCCCTGGGTTCAGGCAATTCTCCTGCCTCAGGCTCCTGAGTAGCTGGGATTACAGGCATGCGCCACCATGCCCAGCTGATTTTTTGTATTTTTAGTAGAGACGGGGTTTCACTGTGTTGACCAGGATGGTCTCGATCTTTTGACCTCGTGATCCACCCGCCTCGGCCTCCCAAAGTGCTGGGATTACAGGCATGAGCCACCAAGCCCGGCCTGATTTAGATTTTTAAAAGCCCATCAGGTTTGAGACCCCTCCAGTTTGGAGACCTGAGCAGTTTGCCTAGTAGCTGGGGATCTCGAGCATCTACCTCCAAGCCCTGGGGGCACCCAATGGCAACAGCCACCACTTCTGAGTGTCATGTTTTGGTATGGTTCTAAATTCTTAGTGTTCACTATTGTTTAGCCTTAGTCACATCCAAAGGCTAAAGTGCCCCTCCCCCCAGCTCCATTCATGTCTCCTCTGATGAAATGGATAACGTCAGCTTACTTTCTCCTGTCGCTTTTCTTCCTCGTGCTCTTTATTGCCTCTGATCAGGCCTTTCCCTTCCTCCAGCAGCTCTCGAAACAGATCCACAGGGCCAGAACTTGGGGCTCCCACCTCTGCTGCCTCAAGCTGAGGCAGTGAGTTCTGATGTCTGGCTTTCTTCCGTAGGAATTCTGTACGGGCCTGGGGAGAAAGTTACAGGCAAGACATTAAAAACCTAGAGGTGATTCAAGAACTTTTAAGTCTGGTGCCCACCACAGGAAACAGCAGTCCAGGATGCTGGGGTTATAAGAAAGCGAGCACTCGGCGCTTACAAGAGGCACCTGTCCTAGCTAGGGGTGAGGATAGGCAGATAAAGCAACACCTGGGTTTTATAAACTGACTTTCGAATAGTCAACCACAGATCTAGGATGGCTGGGAGGAGGTACCTGGCCTAAACCAAAGGGGTTCCTAACCTCAGGTGAAACAATTGAAACAGCCATAAAGGTAGAACAAACTGCATTAGGTCAGATGATCTGGATTCCAGGCATGGCTCCAAAGTCATTACCCCAAGTCCACTGATGAAGCCCTGTCTCTCGCCTTCAGGACAAACCGCTCAGCAGCCTACTGAGATTCTAAAAACCCAGACTACCTCCCTCCCACTGGGGAGGATCAGAGTGGCTAAGGAACTGAAAGTTAGGTGTACACCAAACAGATTTAAGGAGCTATACATAAGGCCCATGTTTGTGTGTGTGTCTGGGGGTGGTGCAGGGAAAGGGCTAGCCCGAAAGGGTGGAGCCTTCCCCTCCCTTGAAGCCATCTCCCTACGTGCCACGGAGATGACAATACCCCTTTAAGAAAGAACGGTGCTTATGGGGGATTCTGGAAGTCAGGCGTTCTGCATGTAGTTAGCATACAGTAACTGCTCAATAAATAGGCTGTGCAAGCAAACTAAAAACTGATCCGAATTTCCTTAAACTGTCCAAAGAATCATGAATTCAGTAAACATTTATGCTTCTCTTTTGTGCTAGACATTGCTCTAGCCATGTGAAATACATCAGTGGAGAGAAAACTAAGACGAGGGAGCGATCAAGGGAGATGTGGTGGGCACAAAGTCTGCCGAGCAACGTCTTCGAAAAAAAGAGATCGGCGCCTGGTCACGAATTACACACGGAGCACAGGGCGCCTGCGCAACGCCGCCACTTCCGGACCCCTATCATGGCGCCTGCGCGCTGGGCTCCGGAGTTCCGCCCGGCCGGCCCCCGGAGTTCCGCCCGGCCGGCCCCCGGGCTTACCTCTTGCTGAGCCAGCAGCACTCTCCGCTCACGCTCCTTCTCTTCCTCCCGGGCCTGGGCCTCGTCACGTCGCACGCGGGCAACATTGTCCTTGTTCCGGACGTGCCAGCTCTTCTTGGGCAAGATATTCATGGCGTCGTAGCAGTCCACGGACTGGCACGCCCGCCTCTTTACACTTCCGATTGGCGAGAGAATGTCCCCTCCCTCTTGTCCCTACTTCGACCACAGATTGGTTCTGAACTCATTGGTACGGCCCCCCCGGCCTGTAACGACAAGTGATCGGTTGAGACGCCCTTTATATCAGCGAATGCCAGGCTTTTGGCGAGTGGTATCCCCTAGCAACCGCTTATCTCAAATCTGAGCCAATCGCGAGTTGGCCCGCCCCTAATGCCAGATTTGGCCTCCGATTGGCCGACACAACCATCAATCCTCCTTACGTAAGAGCACTTCGCACGGCGACACATTCCCATGCATTTGATTGGCTCCTGCCCTGCTGTAGCCCTGCCCCCAACTTCAGGACGCAGATTTCAACGCGCGCTCAGGCACCTTGGCTGTATTTATTGGTAGAAGAAAGATCACCCGAGAGTCTGGGACGTGGCGGCCAGGGTCCCTGGAAATCTCCAGATCCTAGAGCTGGAAGAGCGTGGCGTCTTCTCCAGTTCTCCTAGTTTTACAGATGTGTCCTAGGCTTACAATTGGCCTGGGGTCTGAAGGTGGGACATGGGCTGCACAGGTCAAAAAGCCGGGTTGGTGGAGCTCAGCGCCACAGCGCGCCGTGCCAGGAAGACTTTATTCTGCGCCTCCTGAGGCAGAGAGAGGTGGAGGTGAGACAGCCCTCTCCCCCAATCCCTTTCAGTGTCCCCCACGGGGTCCCTCTCAGGGACCCGCCTGACTCACCGTCTCTCTTTGACGTTTGAGCTGAGAGATGAGACGACCGTAGGAGTTAGCCAGAGCCACAGTGTATGCCATCAGGATGCTGGAGGAGGCAGGAACAGAAGCCACTCCTGACACACTCTTCCATTATATACAAACGCCTGGCTCCTTCAAAGCCAGGATGTCAACTACAAGGACTTCAGTTTCCCAGCCCCTCCGCCTTCAGATCCAGGAGCCCTAAGTCCCACCCTACTCCTCCTCTGGACCCAGCAGTCCAGGCCCCTAGGCCTCCTCCCACCCCGGAGTCTCTCCTCTCTCCGAGGCAGGTGATGGCCCCCAGATCACATGCATTCAAACCCAGATCCAGAAGTCTGGGCCAACTCACCTGGAAATCAGCAGAAGGGGTACAGCAAAAGCCTGAGTCCCCAGGAAGAAGAGAAAGTTCTGGGCGGTCTCAGGGAGGCTGGAAATAGACTCAGGGATCTTGGCCCAGATGGACGACTGCCCCCGGAATGGACCACATAGCTTAGAAGGTGGGATCCTGAAGTCAAGATAGGCTGGGCTCACATAGAGCCAGGAGTCTGAACGCTGAATGCAGGGAGGAGGGAGGGAGAGGGGAGGAGGGAGGGAGAGAGGGAGAAGGGAGGGAGAGAGGGAGAAGGGAGGGAGAGAGG